TTTAGTGAAACGTTTTCATTCATATTTTCATCACGAGCTAATTCAAATATAGTATTTGTTTGTGTAAATCAATTATGACGAGGTTGGCATCGAATAACTCATACTGATATTAACGTTCATAATACTTAATATTCCACTTAGTCTATTGTACGTTACTGTCAGGACTGCAAAAGGTACGAGTACATTAATTTTGGCATGGTTAAAAATTAAACGCATAGAAATGATGACCACCTGGTGTTTTGATTAAATCGCAAATTACTAAGCACATGGTTCGACATCTATTAGAGAATAAATAGAACAGAAAATAACTAAATTTTTAGAGATTGAGCATAGACATATTTTTCTTGGTTTAAATGGCTATTATCAATGGTAATAGCAATTTTTGTACTAATCCTTTTGTGTCAATTCACCCAATAGAATGCTGCCATCAGTCTCCTGTTTCCGTTAACGTGCTAAAGACATAATGTTCTCGTTCATCCATACTTGACGTTTACGTGGTAATATGCTGCATCGACAGTACGCTTTGCATAACAATTACATCAAATGTTCATAATTGGAAACTTTCTTTATCTAAACGTTTACCTGAACCGGCCTCTGGCTAACCAAAAAATAGCAAAACAGGACCACCGGTTTAAACAGGTTTCACCTGTAGCATCGTATTATTAGCTGAACTAATATCGAGCAGTTATAGATTGTATTTGTACAATAAATTTTTTGGTAAAATAATAGCTATTTATTCTTAGTGCTGAGTCGGACCACCATTGATCTTTCGAGAGAACTGTTCTAACTACAGTCAGCTCTCTTTATAACGACCTTTTTATACCGAACGATGCCTTACAACGATTTTGCCATTTCAACCACTGTTAAAATTAGCTGTTTACGTAGGATGGTTGAAAACTTCAGATCGTGGACATTTATCTCAACAAATGCCCAACATACTGTATTTAAAAACAAAGCTATAGTTGCAAGCCCGAGGTTCCAATGGACAGCTGAAAAATGAATTGACCTGGTAATTGTCGACGGTACCCTAATACAATTGGTAATAACCATGGTTAGAAAGAATAGAAATTTCTAATTTGCCATAGAAAATAGGAACGACATTGATACTTTATCTGAACACGCAATATAACAAACCCTCAGGACTTGCAAAATTTCATCGCAATCCGATGTCTGCAACAAAATGTTTCAAACACCCGACATTTGATTTTAGAATACTGCAAATCACTAAGTAATTTGCAAGATTTTTTTTCCTTTCGTTGTTCAAACAATCTTTAGGAACTACACAGAGATGCATGGATTCGTGGTATTAGATCGGAATGTAATCGTTACCATACATAGTTGAAATGATCGTCCGCAAAATCTCAGTCACGTGTTTTTTAATGGCATGCACCAACTTTTTTTTCAAAACCTCAAGCTTTAAATCTTTGTCTTTATTTTTAGGTAAGGCCAGCACTTGTCAAGATAAAACATGATCAAAACTTTTCAACCACCCCACATATAACAGCCAGTCATAGGATTTCGGGTATATACAATCCGATCGACTGGTTAATTAGATCTAAAATAAAATTTATCATATAAATTATGTTGTAAACTTCTTTTTTATAGCGACAATGGATATTAATTTCTATATATAGAGGTACTTAATTTCTCCGCTTCTGGCCAGACACTAGAAATTGAGTAGCACTGAGAATCCATTATCTTTTATGATCGTTCATTCTTCTACATTCTCCATCATATGTTCTCTACCATATATTCTCCATCGTCATTGTTATTTTTGGAACAGCAGGGAGATAGTTTTAATGTGAATCCCAATGATTTACTCAGAATTCGATACTAAGAGAAAAACAAACGAGAATAGAGCTCCTCTCTACCCAAATTTATCTTTACGTCTTTTCACTGTCCTGTTAGATACATATGATGATTGAGTACTTTTCTAATAAAGAGAAAGAGGAAAAGTTACATGTTAAACACTTGAACAAATAATAAAAGCTAGCATAGTAATAATAGTAATATTCTTGGAATATTTAATTCCGCTGTTTATAACGATCGATTTTGCTTTGGCCGAGGTGGTCGTTATAAAGAGGGTTGACTGTGTTACATTGTTGAATCCGGGAAAAAATGCACCAAGTTGGCACAATTCAATTCTCTTAAGATCCATTAACGTCGTCACATTTATTTAAGGGCGCGTAAAAAAACTGCAACACCACGGTATGTTCATTGCTCATTTTCCGCTAAAACGCGAATGATGCAGTCTTATTCGTATGAATTGTCACATTTAGCCTCATATAATAGTATACTATCATATAATGATGAAGACTATCAAGGAATTATTTTGTCAATATGTTTGACTTAATAAGAAATTACAATGCAAAACCTATTTCCAAATTTATTGCATTGCATAATAGTTATTACAGTACTTTATGTAATCGTAGTGTTGAAGAGGCGAGGCTTCTTGGTTTATTTTTTCACTCAGTTATAACATAACAAGTTTAGCATGTCTCGAAACATTTACCAAAACCCATAAATTTTGCGATGTGGTAGAAAGTCTAGAGAGATTGATCTTCACAAGAAATAACGCTGTTATGGTGGTAAAACCGTAACAAATACAATATTATTATTAAAAGGCAGAATCTAGCACACTTATGGTAAAATTTTGGCAAACAAAAAAGTCTGGTTTTTATAACCACAGAACAATTGGAATTATGATGTTAGATTACCACTATCTTGTGTCGATCACGAACTTATATCTATCGTTACAGCACATAATTGCATGAATATATATGATATAGTTTATAATAAATTGGGTTATATGTAATGTCAGCGAGTCCAGCAAATATAATGAAGATCAACAAACATACAATTAAACCCAATCCTGCGGAGTGAGCATTGATAGGTTGCATGGGCGTCCTGGGTAGCTGTATTTGTTTCTAACGCACAATCTTGTGATTTGCGCTTTTTTGTCTCACATAATTGTGTGCATCTAGCTTAACTTACAAACAATGTTCTTTTTCGTGTAGTTTTCAAGTAACAAATCGCCTTATTCGTAGTAAGCAAATATTTCAGCTTGATACAAATCAGAGCAAGCAATGATAAAAAAACTAGTCTGTTATTTCCATCATGACTCTTGTCAAGCTATGTTCGTTGTTTCCCAATAACTATGATCTAAGAGCTAAGTAAATGGTTTATAAAAATTTCATACTAGCCGAGTTTAGAGTATATTTGTCGCCGCAATATTTACACCTTGCAACAACGCCACAAAGGCTGAGGATGACTTAAATTACAGTTTTATGATATAATTAATTACCTATACAAAATGTAAATCGAGTAGTTGCAACTTCAACGATACAATGACAGTTAAATAAATTGACTTCCATGGGATTATAGTCGACGGTAAAAAGAACTTTAATCAAACCATTATACCAGTCTACTTTAACGGGTTGATTGTGCATGTTATATGTTCGTAAATGCTTCATTTGATTTAAGCCAATGATTTTTTTGGGCAGTGTTTCTCTTCTTTTATTTATACATGTTGGATAGTTTTCCTTCTGATCGACATTATGGGCAATATTTCAAGATGCCAGACGCCCATCATGTAACACTTATGCTGAACATCATCACATGCCCTCTATGGCTAATTGGTCAGATTGTTAAGATAACTGTGTATTATTGTTATTATATCACTGGTCACAAACGTCGTCTCCTGGGACATTATTAATTAATATATCAAACTATGTCGTATTTTGCCAAATGATTGACTATCAACAGTTATAGTAAACTGTACTGTATTACTATACTGTAGACCGTAGTTATATTGGTGGTGTATTTACATTACAAGATTACGGGATTTTGCACACACTAAAGTAAAAGTGACTTGTAAACGTTAACACTTTGAGTTCATTCTAGGCAAGTTCGCCTATGTAACACAAGTTGTCTATAAATAGATATTGGTATGTGATAATATTTATAGCGGTTATTCCTCCTCCTATATAAAGTAAGGACATTGAATATTATCAACATCTGTTATAGATTATCGCTCTTCTAGCGCTAGATGGGTTGTCACATGTTACTGTAATTATCCAATCAACGTTTATAGTCAGAAGTGACAGTAACAACAAACTTGTGGGAAAATTATGCTCGACAGCAAGTCGAATGACAAGCAAAGGTTGAGTCTATTGTCACAATTCTACAAGCAAATGGCAAACAATTTGCGTGTACATTCCTCAATTGAGAATTCAACATTGTTCCAAAAATGTGCCCCTGACTATTTTGGTTTTGGCATACCGTTTGTATAGTTTTTTTTTTTTCCCGAAAATTAAGAATAGAGTTTTTGTTAAAGTTGTACGACATAACGATCAAAGGGAAAACGGATCTCCTAAACCTTTATTTTACACCGCATATTCTAATACTGTACAAGCTTCTATTTGGAAAGTTGAAACAATGTAAGATATACACGGTTAATGCAATGCCTCCAACTGAAAAACTACATTGCATATTATATTTATAATGCTATCTAATAGAATAGGAAATATGCCGAGATGTACTTGGCAAGCCACTCTCATTTATAGAAAATGACCGACATATTCTTAGCAATATCGCCCCTATCAACATAAATCGATAGTACGTATAAATAATTATCCATGTACGTAACCGCTTTAATTTTTTTCATGGACCAAGCAACAACTTTGTGGGGAAAGGGGGCGGTTTCTGTGCCACGTCTCGATATATTTTGTTTCACACTATTGTCTAGTTAGTGAACCCATACAAAGCCTCGTATGGATGCTCTTCAACAAACGTATCAGCTCTCACACACATTCAACGCATTCAAACATTCACAGTGTACATAGTGTAATAGTATACATAGTATACATAGTACATTCAGACCTTCACACATCTCTATAAACATTCTAGTCGTGCAACGGCTGGATTCGCTTATTTAAAAAAGATACCATACTCCCCCCCCCCCGGAATTCACCATCATTCTTCCCGACTTTTTGTAGACAATGGAAAAAATTTTATTGACCAGACTATCTGATGAAATTGCCACGCTTCTTAAACACGAAGATACATGCGACATTGTTATTGTAGCCGGAACGGGCATGGATCAAATGCAGTTCAAAGGCCACTCGTTGATATTATGCGCTCGATCGGAATACTTTGCTGAAGCAATCAAACAGAGATTGAATGTTAAGGAAGAAGGACTGCAATTGTATCGTGACTCTTTCATTGACTTGAGTAATATACCATCGAATTCATTTGAACTCATTTTCAGGTATGAGCAAGTGCAAGTCGGAGGAAACCCCTTTGCTAAATGTTAGAATACTCTGACCCTTTGCTATTTCCTTATCAGATATCTTATTATTCCTTGATAGTTTGCTCTCTCAATAGTTCAAGTATACATTTTTGTCTTTCTAATGCTGAACTTATTCTGAGTTGAGCACCAGAAAATTATCATCTTCTAATTTTATGTGGAAGAATAAGTATTTTCACAATCGCTTCCATCAAGATAAGGCTATACCACTTGTAATTAAGAAGAATTGAGTCGAGTCGTAATGTCATCATTCTGTCTATACACTGGCTGGCTGCTCTTTTGTTATTACTATCGACTAACGTGTGTGTGATTCTTTCTAATTCTATCGTAAACAGATATCTCTACTCTGGAGTCATCGACCTAAGTAAACTTACCATCGACACTATTTTTACTCTTATTGACCCTCTTCATGAATTGTACTTGCACGATCTGATAGACTACATTCAAGAGTATCTCATCACTAATCAACATCGATGGATTTACACAGAGTTCATTTCTACTTATTACATTCTGTCGGATATCAAACATATACCAAAGTTCCGTAAATTCGTTAATGAATTGGTATGCACCTCACCTGAACTACTACTCAGGTCAGAAGATTCTACTATTATTGACGAAGATTTATTAACAGATCTACTGAGAAGAGATGACATTAACATGCCAGCAGCAGAAATATGGGACAGATTACTGGAATGGGCAAGGGCTAATCCCATTATATCCGCTGACATCACCTTGTCACAAGAAAAGACATTAGCAAACACATTGAAGGATTTTTTGCCGCTGGTGCGTTTCTTTCAAATGTCAAAAAACGAATTTCTGGAAAAGGTATTGCCGCTAGATTCTATTATACCACGAGAATTATTTCGAGAATTGGTATCTTACTACTTAATAGATATCCGTTCAGATGATCTTATATTACCAGCTACTTGCTACACAGAAAGAATTGAGGATGATTCATCCACTGTGGTATCAACTGAATCAATCATAGACTCTGAGTTAATCGACTGGCAAACTGTCGCATGGTTTGCTTGTTGTATACAGCAATCAGAGACAACACAAAAATTGGATGACCTTCTAGAATGTCCAAGTGAAATACCTTTCATATTTACTCTATTAATGCGAGGCAGCGAAGTATGTGCTACAGCATCAAAGTTTCATAATCTATGCGATTATGAAGGACCAACTATCACCATAATTAAGATATTTGGTACAGATGAAATCATTGGGGGCTATAATCCCAATCATTGGAGTAAGGATAACAGGAATCCGAGAACTAGAAAGAGTTTCCTATTTGCTATTGGACGAAATAACTATGAACATGTGATCAGCAGAGTCGTCAATACTACGTATGCTGTTCATTCTTCTCATGATCTTGGCCCATGCTTTGGATTCAGTGATCTCCGAATTGAAGACAATTTTATGGATGGGCATTATAGTTATGCTAGGCATGATGATTACGAAGGTCCAATACGAGAAAGTACAGATAGCTTTAGAATAAAAGAAATTGAAGTGTTTAGGGTAGAGCAAAAGAGAAAAGAACTACTTACTATCTAGTTAGTCACTGGCATTAAGACGAAATAAATTTCAAATATGCATATAGTTTATCAATATTGTTTCAATTGAGGAATATAAGTTATAGACAACAAATTAGTCGAGAGAACGGTCTGCTTTCTTAGAATCTACATGTGTTGCAAAAGTTGTGGAGATGGAATTTCAACAATTTTAATACCTTTTCATGTATAATACTTTATTTCAAGGTCTGTGGCTTGGTTGATAAATCTATTATTATTATGCTAAGATTAATATTAATATAGGTTATTATCGTATTTTTCAAAGAATTTGATGACTTGGTAAAAAACTCACTGTGATGGATCGCTTGTCCGTTAACTTCAGACGCATTTTCCTTTAATAATGCCATAATTATACTAGGCCTTGTTGAACTTACCATTTGAAACCAAACGTTTTATGATCTCTGGCAGATATTGAGCGGAGTCGTGTCCTTTCTCTCACATAAATTCACCGCGTGTAATCACTTATTCTTCGAAATTGGTTATTAGTTCTTTCAAGAATTTCCAGCTCAAACAGAGAATCAAAATGGTCTTACATCTTCTTCTTGATGTTTTCCAATGCTGCTTTATCGGAAAGTAGGATTACGTTTATTGTAAAATACGTATTTGTAAACTAATCGGATGAAGATGTTATGCTGAAGACGATCAAGCGAGTTTCGTTTTTAAGAATTCGATTATATCGAGTATGGGCTGGCCGATGAACCAAATTTAACAAACCACTAACTTTTTTTCTAGCTGTCTTTGTTACATTCAGTTATACGTAACATAATTTAATCCGTTTGATAAACTACATTATAAACTATTCTAGTAGTTTGTAAAGCGCAAACGAACTCTGAGGAGATAGTTGATATTGACATATTTCATTATTACTCTGATTACAATAACATGTGTTCGTGGAGCTTGATTATTACGTTACAGTTATTAAACTATATCCCGTAATTTAATATAAGCACACACTTTCAATTTAGTACGTACATTAAGGTAAATATAAAGTATTCCGTATAACGTTTTGCAAGTACAGATTTCAAACTGTAAAGTTGTGCACCCTCAACCGGTTAAATGGACTTTCCTAAGATTGGCGAGTGTCTCAATTTAATACAAAGTGACAAATTATACTGTATGTGGTATGATGTAGATTTTGCGTATTATGTCTTTGAAAATGGTAAGTACGTGTACCACTAACATTTTCCGAGTCGAATGCAACTTAATATTAGTACACAAATAATGGTCTTATTGGATTACAGTCGACCCTCTCTGTCGGAGACAATGCAAGCTTTTGTTGAAAATGTGCTTATAAAGAGGTTGACTATAGAGAGGTTTTATCCCTATAAATATAATAGTAATTGGTTCTCAAACATGGTGTGCGTATTAGTATAAAGAGGTTGACTGTAATTGCATATGTATCGGCTTCAAGATATAATCGGTGATATGCAACCCTTGTGAAAATATTAAACGACGAAATTTACCGCCAATAGATAATACAGTGTTTTATCGTGCAAAACAAAAGCGACGACTGTAGCTATTAAAATTAAATTTTTTACGTAATTGGTAACTAATTTATTATATACAAGTATCAGTATTGTTACTGCATCTCTGTATTATTCTGATCTGACATATGTTAGTTCCGAACGGACATAAATGACGAATAATCCTTGTGACACCATCGGGAGTTGTGCAGAATTAGGGAGGCATAATTAATGTGTCCTCAATCAGGGACAATCGTGCAACAACAATTAAAAGTTTAGGGACAGGGAAAAGTAGCTTTAATAGTATGCCTTAAAAAATGGGTTAGCAGTTAGGGATATTGATATACCTAAACAAGCCATCCTGAAGAGCAATATGGCGTTATGCAAAATGCGATCTTTGATATTTGGTGGGTGCAATAAAAATAAATGGCTCTCTATCGATCATGATGCACTAAAAAGAGAAGAACCGTTCATTACCCTATCCTCAGATCGAATCTGCATCAGCTATCTGGCTTAATCTAGCAGTTAACAATCAACATAAGTATGTGATAAAATAAAGATTTTACTTCGTATATATCGTAAAATGACTTTAATGAAAGTGTTATTAAATTTTTTAAAACATGTTATTGAAGCAATTTAAATGTGTGCAGCCATATCTAATATTTATCAAAGTATATCCGGCACCCAAACTGCCAAATTCATGATGCAAGCTTGTTCGTATTCAACCCCAGTTGAAAGTATTGGATATTTTATAAATAATTGTTTATTTCGAGGCTCTCGTAAAGTAGTACATAAGTTTAGATAAATCAATGAGAATATCGATTGCTTGATAATATACTGTACTTGCAAATTGCCAAGTAAAACAAGCCTCCAAGAGCTCGCAATACTTTGTCAATATTTTAATGTATTTGACTTTATACCTTAAACAATTCTTAATTAGAACATGAAAGTGTAAACGCAGCTTCGTTTTAGACAAAGAAATCTATGTAGTTTATTTATATTTAGGAAGAAATAATCATGTGACTACCCACAAACATGTTATACATTACAACAAGATGTCCCGGTTTAAGCTGCTTTAACATTTATTTGACGCTAAATGAGGATAGCTGATAAAGAATTTACATCAACCACTTACAGCAATCATGGAAGAATATTACTTATGAATAAAATAGCGGTAGCAGTAAGATACCCTTTATAAACTATCGGAATTACTGAATGGCTGTCAAAGATTGAGTACAACTTTATTGCACGCTACACACGTGCTGTCAAAACTCATGAAATATTTAGCTGTTAAACCCATTAAAATGACATAATAATAAACGCTTAACCAATAAATATACTTTAATATCGAGAGATTAGTGACAAATCGTAATGAGACTCTTGAACGTGTCAACCGTTAATTTTCGTTGTAGGAAGCTCAATAACCAGTAGTTATGTATTAAAAGTAAGCACCCCATTGCTGCTTTGCACTGAACAACATTATAAACCAAGACGGCTTTCCCAGAAATTAAGTTATGTAACAAGGGCATATGTCAGCTGATGCGCAAATAACATTTGAAACGTTACGAATTGTGTAGCTGATGCAAATAGGCGTTTGACAAAAATGACACTTTCTGTCCCTTTTTTTAAATTGATGTTTATTGGTTTGCCAACAAAAAAGCTATTATCTTCACAGTCTCGTTTCTACAAGATTATCTCAATTATTATATTATAAAATGATGATTTTATGATACAAATATATAAACTGCAAGATAATGAAGTTTTTTTTTTTTTACAAACAACTCACAAACCATGCAGATCTGAGATGAACTTCTTGGCGACCACGTAATGTGTAGAGCGCGTTTTCTCAATTCATATCACACATTAACAGAACAAACTAATACCACGATCAATCAACGCTATAATTTACTTAATATATAATACAAACATGTTATAAACGATGTAAAAATTTTCCACAAAGAATATTATCTTAGACTCCTATTTCTTTATCACAGGTTCTGCAGGAACAGGAAAAAATCACAGAGTAATGTCATGCCATATAAACATGACGTGTATTTAGGGAGGTGCACTACAATAAAAACACTAGAGATAGCATGCAATCGCAGAGGGATTACTCCACTGTAATTCCTATCTGTCCACTTATTCACAAACATCTATTGCGCCACAGTTCAAATTCCCACGTCCTCCCTAAAAAAAAATAGAGTCAATAACGCATAACATTATTATAAAAATTTTTGTTAATCTCGAATTCTTACACTACCAAGATAATTTGTTATTATCGGTGTCGACAATTGTACTAGTATACCTCTCATGGTGAGATCTTTCGTTTGAATCCGAAAATACTTTTAGTAAACTCAATTTTGAATTGTTCAAAGACCGTATCGTTAAAAGTAAGCAAAGTCTTGTCATTCATCTCTATGAATGCTAATAATGTGTACAATACTTATTCAGCTGTTAGTCTATCTCCGGGATTAGCAGCCCAGCAGTGTTGCATCAAATTCACATAGCAATCTGCTCGACTCGCCTCGAATAATTCTCTGCTTAAAGAGTGCTGGGTCATCGTCTCTGTAGTCGAAAAAAGACTGGTTGTCCCGAAAAGAAAAGTCCCACATAACTATGCCAAAAACGTATATGTCAGACGCTGTTGACCTAGGCGTATTTCCGGTGCCATATACGGGACAACTCCAGTAACTTCTTGGCGGGACTGGACAAACTAAAATCAGAAATGTATACAGTAATTTATAGTTCTGATAGTTATCTGGAGCCCTTCCGCTGTGAAAATCTTTATGGCAAAGCCTGCTTTATGAATAGCTTGTAAATACCTCATCAAAATGCACAGCTGTTTCACTCTATGTGAGCTTTGCAGAATTCTTTATCTCAAGTTACCGCCAGACATGTACTGCATGATCGATATCATCTGACTAGTCTCTGGAAGTCATATACAATTGAAGCTGTTCGTAGTGAATCTGGTTAAACGGAACTCTGACTGTAGTGAACCAAACTGCCAAGAACCGAATTTTTATTAAATAATAAATCTGCTTATAGTGAATTTTATTAATAAATCTGTTGTTCAAAGCCTAAATACGCTTTCTATTGTAGACTGTCACAAACATAGCGGGGAAATTATTGTATGATTAGGCCATTAGCCAAATTTAGTTAGAGTTATCGGGGTAACCAGACTGTAAAGATTATGTCAGTGCGCTGTAATCATTATGTAACGTCTTATATTTATTATTATTATTATTATTATTATTATTAATCCTCGATTTTAATGATTTGGTACCAAAGCTACTCGATAAACAATATGTCAAGCAAAAAAGAACATCTCTCTCTGCTGCTCAAAAACGTGAAATTTGCAAAGCAAAAAAATCCGATCCAACAATAAACAACCAAGAATTTGCCAAAAAATACAATATTGGAAAGTCGACAATAATCAAAATTCTAAACGAGAAAGATCGTTGGCTTGCAACTACAACCGTAGAGGACGACGTGAAGAGATTTCGCGCACCTAAGTGGCCGCGGCTTAAAAATGCTCTTAGTCTTTGGGTTAATAATGTACTTAATGCACAGCAAGATATTACAGGAATTATTTTTAAAAAAAAGCAATCTATTTCGCAAATCAGTTTTCGATTAACGATTTTCATTCATCCGACGGATGGCTAAAAATCCCAATGGACTTTGTCAGTTCAGGAAGCAAGGAGAAAGTGCGAGTGCACCACCTGCTGAATAGTTGGAAAATGAACGGAAATCATTAAGAACGCTCCTTCATACTTATAAGCCTGAAGACATATGGAATGGCGACAAAACTGGCCTCTTTTGGAGAATGGAACCTTCGCGCGTTTTAGCTCGTACTAAGCTTTCAGCCATAAAAAAGATAAATATCGCGTTACAATTTTTTGTGCTACTAACTCTCTAGGAACGGAAAAGATTAAGCTTAGCTTTATTTATCGACATAAAAAACCCCGAGTATTGCGAAATTTAAATTATGCTAACTTACCCGTCTATTATTACTGGAACAAGTCGGTCTGGATGCAAGTTAGCATTTTTAACGACATTCTTCTTAAACTCAACAAAGATATGAAAGAACAAAATAGAAATATTTTATTGCTGGTTGATAAGGCGCCGGTACATATAATTCTTGAAGAAACAGAGAGAAGTTAGACTGTATAGAGGTTAAATTTCTTCCTCTAAATACCACAGCCTTTCTTCAACCTTGCGATGCTGGAATAATCAATTCATTTAAGTGTAAATATAGAACTTTATTTATTCAAAATTGGATTAGGGCATACGACGATTTTCAAAACGGCACTTCGAACGTACTTGCCGACTATACCATATACGATGCTTTAATAAATGCATCAGAAGCATGGGCTGATGTATCATCGCAAACAATACGTAACTGCTGGCAAAAGACTGGTATTGTTTCGAAGAGACAGTTATTGAACACTACGATACAATTCTCAAAAGGTACAGTAAGTGAAGGCATACAAATTAATTAAAATAATAACCTTCGTTCACTCAATTTTTTAGTAACAATAATGACGAAGAAAGACTCTGGAAATGCTGCTCAAACAATTACCAAACGATGCTAACATTTCAGCAAATGATTATGTTCACGTTGAAATGAGAATAATTGGTCAATCCTTACTGATGAAGATGTAATTGAATTAGTAAATCGGAAGGAAATGAGTAGCGAAAGTGAAGCTGAAACGGAAACAATAAGTAATAGGACAGCCTGTACATTAATCGACACAGTTTTAAAATACTTGTATCAACAAGGACCAGAATTTGGCGAGGTTGTCGAAGAAGTAAAGATTTTGAGAGCATTACGCAGATGGGTGGAGCTAGCCATTCAGAAAAATCTTAAACAAGTTAGTCTTCACCATTTTGAGGATAAAATGATCGAACAGTAGGAGTTCTTCTTATAGTAGTTGGGAATTGATAAACATAATAAAGGCCATTGTTGCATATGTATTGTATGTCACATGACTTTCGCTATAGTGAATGCTGGCTATTGAACTAAAAGCCTCAGTTCACTATAAACAGCTTCAACTATACACGTAAAAATCTATATTCCCATTTTAAATAAGCCACGACCTGTTTCGAATAATTATATCAATAAAACGTAAGGTTGATGTCTTTCGTTAAAAATAAAAGTTTCATACTGGCCTCCCGTAAATAATTTGTCACTCTTTTAGAGCAACTGCCATACATAGATCCTCTACGCCTGGAATATCTTGAAGTAACATCATCTTCTGTTAAACATCCCCAGCTTCCCTGTCTCCAAATAGCCTTAGACAAAACCTCCCTCGGCTACAAACTCGATATTCAAAATTGTCGTATGAAATCCATTCAATAAACCGATGAACTTGGGTGGCATTTCTTTGTGAATTGAGAATAAACTCAACAGTGTGGGGTCTCCCACTTGTCCAAGTTGTCGCTGCGTTATCAGCAATTTCCCGAAATCATTTTTTACAGAAATAATATCTTTTGTGCATATCAGCATTACATTTGGAGCAACGGTGGCTATTATCATCTTCCTCAGCCACGATCTTAAAATCAGAATCCCAAGTGGAGATAAGCCACTTTGGGCGTAGACCAAGCCACAAAGTAGTACCATACACCTTTAGTAGGTGTAACTAGTAAAGGAACGCAAAACTCCACACAGTGATACCACAGACTTGTCCTGCCAAAAAAATATTAACGCCGCCGCCAATTTCAAGAATCTAATAAAGTACTGTGGCAAACGAAATCGGATTAAAACGAAATTTGGGGTCTTCTCGGATTCTCTTTTAATGCCTCTGAAACCCACATTACTCTTCTATTAACAAAAGGTTACCCTAAATCCCAACTCAAATTCCCAAAAAGCCTAGAAATTTGCCCCCAAAAAGTTTTAAATTTTCATTATTAAAATAGAGAAAATTTCATTTTAATCCGATTTCGTTTTAATTTGTCACATTAAATAGTATGCATGGTAATAAGAGCCAACAGACAAGTGCGGATCAAACTGTGCCAGCATTGGCTAAGGTTGGGATTAAATTGACTATTGGCTTGAAATCCCTCTTGGTGATTTTTAAAGAAAGAGTGCTTCTTGAGTATCTTTGGTATCATATTAATATTGGTTTGTGAGCTCTGGTTTAGTATTTAGATATTATACAGCAAGCTATCAGGAAAACATTTGCACAAGCTATTTGGTAACTACATAGCATTAGACTCACTTAATAATGCAGTCAATGAGTTTATCTAATTTAAATTAATTAAACCTTGAAGCTAAGTGTTTGTTACAATGACTGATTATATCAGTAATTGTGATGTAGGAACATGTACCAAGATTGGTGAGCATTTGAAGAGAAAGCAAAAATTGAATTTAAATGCCATTATTGTAAAACTGAAATTAGAAAAATAAGTATATTATTTACCACAGCAGACAATATTAGATGTTCAGCAAAACTGAACAATGTAATTACGAAAACATTTGATGAATGTAATGATATTAATATTAAGAAACAAAAAGAGAGTAATAAAGCCCGAGTTTGGATTTACTTGGAAGACATTAACAGCCGTAATTGCCGGGCCAACCCCACACGCATGTTTCTTCGCTCCAAACAAACAAATTACTTCAAAAAGCAAAAACCGTATATCAATGGGACTGGGAAAAGGCATTAAACGTCTATACACAGATATTACAAGCTAATCCAATAAATTATGCATGACAGAGTATTTTATAACAGAGCATTTATCAGGTTAGAAATGAAAAAGCTCTGTTTGATACTGATATCTTTACCATGATTACTACTATGGATATTTTTGTTAACGCTTGTTAATTACTTTGCGTCCCTCCTGCATGGTATTTATCCCGCTATCACTGTCCACTATTATTGGTACGATACGTACAAACACCAATTAATAATCGCCAATCCTATACCGTGTTAGAAGGACATAATTGATAAGTGTCTCAGCATACGATGTCTTCACATCAAATTTTTCGATAATGAACTCTTTAATCATTGTACAATAACCCTTACTAATAAAAGCGCATTAAACACACATATTGCCTGGTAATCGTGCCGATACCATTAAAGTGATTGATTCACTCTGACTTGACAAATACGATCATTATCTGGCCATGCCAATCAAGTATTTATCAATTTTGTGTACCCGCGTGATAGTAACCTGCCTTTCGAAGTTTAACTTTATTGTAATTTGTCAGAAACAAATAGAACAGCAGACGTTTTTGTAATTATTTTGAACACGTTGGAAACATGTCGGTTTGACTCTAAAGCATAATTAATTATTTTAATTAATTGATAATGTTGTTAAAGCACTACAAATACACCTGATCAAAAGTTTTATCAGTGGCAAACACTGCGTAACCAACAAAGTGTTATCAAGTCTTAAACCAGACTAGCATACATTCTCATTGATACCTCTGCTGGGTGGTGGGAAACTAGTTAGATGGTTGTTTAACTCATTTACATGGAATACTGATGCGTATAAATCCGAGTTGGTAAATTCAGAACGAAATAATAGTATTTTTGCGGTCCCTTGTTAAAACTCTATACAAACCTTCACTTTGGAAAGACTGGGAAAATTTGTATCCAATAATATGCAAGTCACATAGTGACTGTGTAAAATTCTGAACTACTGTTATGGAATAAACAATACATATACAGTTTGCAGTATTTACGTTTAGGTGTTTCAAGGTAAAAATGCGCATATTTACAAAAACGCTTTTCCCACAAGTAAATCTCACACAGTATATTATGTATTTTTCACTTTGGAATTAATAACTTGCTTTGATAAATATAGACAACCTTTTTGCGCTATCTTTGCAACAATTAGTTATCAGCAAAAAGTCTTGGCATATTGTTGGTAGAATTAAAAGACTGCGGTCGTACCAGCAATGTCATGACGCAGGGCGTGCGTCGGAAGTGCGCAGAACAGACAATAGAAAGGCGGATAGGATATAATCAAACGCATGTATAACAAAAGTCCTGCATTTGGGGTTGCTCAATGACAATGATAGCCAATTACTGTATCTCAACCAACAAACCTGAAATAAACAGGTCCCTGGACCTGATAAGTGCCGTATTTTTTTGCGTTCGGAGTTAAAATTCAAGCTTAAAAACCTTGACATGTTTATTGCGGAGACCGTCGGAGATAAATAGTTTCGGAGTCTCGGGGGCGAGAGTGGGGAGTGTTGAGTAATCGTTTGTCCACATTGTCAGTCCACATTGTTAGTCCACATTGTTAGTCCACAAGACAGGCAGGTAACAGGGGGGAGAGGGGAAATAGCACTTATGCAAACGGGGATGTAGTTCGCTCTTTCTCCGATACGACTAGTTTACAATAGTTGTATACCCATGAATATAAATAATGTATGTTCCGATGACATCATTTATTGGCGTCGCTTTATTACTTTATTTGTATAAATACTGTCACATTGTATACCGAAGATACTGTCTATATTACTTACTGTAGTGGGTCCGGTCCGCTTAATCTCCCGTCTGACACAAAAAAACGCCTTTGTTCTTTTGCATGCTTCTATTTGATGGACATACACTGTATCTACATATCTAGCCTTCACATGATACATTCCCACCTTTGATTAGGCACACGGCTTATCTCTGCACAAGTTTTTCGCCATCTCTTTTCAGCATGGGCCGTAAAGGGCTGATCAAAAATAAGGTTGGCTTGTATTACGAAGTACAAACATCCCATCATGAAGGGACAGGCGAAAAGGCGATAAGCAAAATCGTATGACAGAGATGCAGTCGATGAGGGTAATCTTCAAAGCAATATGGATATGTATTTAGTTGTTATGTGGCGCGTGCTAGCCAAATAGAACATAAGACGGTGTGATGATGGTTAAATGATATGAAAGCTAAATGAACATGTTGATGGCTATATTGCATTTAATAATTGAAACGAAATGACAATAACGTTGTGTGTGGATGGATGCGTAATCGTCGTCTTTTGTCTGTCCATCATGCGTCAATGAGTTGATTCGTTGGCAAAAGATTTTCACGTCGTTAATGATTCCTTTTGGAGGAGGAGGATTACCCTATTGAGAAGGAACACATTGGCGCTAGATTTGCATCATTTTACTTACTTACTTTGTTTGTACTTGCATGTTCTTGCATCAATCTGTAATTCCCAAACTCGAAGTTCTTATTATTTTACAGTCTTCCATATTAGTGTTCCAACGAGCGAGATGTATATTATCAACGCAACACAAAGATGCGTTATCTATGTTCTGAATGTAACTGCATGGACGTATATGAGTATATTTTGCATGAAAAAAAATTTTTTCTCCCCAGAGTTTCCTATTTGTCTCTCTTTACCGGATATAAGGATCCGGTTGTCAAGTTGTGCGACATCGGGAAAGAGAGAAACGATAATAACAACCATAATAACCATGATAACAACCATAATAACCATGATAACAACTATAATAACCATGATAACAACCATAATACCATGATAACAACTATAAAACCATAATAGCAACCATAATAACAACTACAATATAACTATTTATTAAACCCGAATCCTTTCTCTTTTTGGTAGACCGTGTTGATTGCCTGATAAGGGAGAGAGTGAAACGACGACAACGAATAGATGGATGGGTAATCCATGGCCGGTGATTACAACTATGAATACGATTGTTACCAAACAATTACTACAGATACTTGACATATCCATCCACTTGTAACAACTAATGCAAAAGACTGTATGCACTTTCTATGATAGTTCGGTTGTTATTCCTGCATTGATTGGGTATCTAATAGTGCTATTAATAAATCTAGAATGGACAAACATAACAATTATTGGTTGATAGGGACATAGCCGCTTGTATTGCTTTTCCATTTTAAGAATTTCTAATTATAATTATCACCATTTTCAATGGATTAATAGACCAAATTTAGTGATATGATACTGATAACACAGATTTCAACTTGTGCGCAAGTACTGTATTATGTATTTGTATTATACATATTATTGTATCAGAATCTGTAGTCGAGATGCATCATTTCGTATTTGTACCCTCGCACACTCTGTTAGAGACTCCTACATTGAAAGTAGGCGGGGGATAATAATCATATACTCTATCTCACACTTTACCTCCCCTCCCCATTTTCACTGTGCCGTTGTTATTTCTGTCCATATCCGGAGTTACCGTGCCGCAGTCAACCGCAGCACAAATCACAAATCATGTAACACCTGTAACCAGTTTCCGTACAGATATAAATACACCATCGCCAACTCTTGCGATTCTTATCTCTCGCGGTCGTCAGCAAGAGACACTAATAATATAACAGTAATTACTCTCTGTTTAACGAACATCAAGTGAATCTATATCAGCAACATACAGAGACAACTACCAAACAAACTGTAACGCAAAGATCCGCTACATATAAACAAGATATATACTACTCGAAACTATTCTTAAAATCATAAAAATGTTCACAAACATCAAAAACTATTTCGCATTCAAAGCTTACCAATCTGAAGTAACAACATCGACAAAAGGTCTTGACCCATGGGAAAAAGCACTGTTTGGTAAGTACGAAAGAAAAATAGCTATGCGTTTGTGTATTTATTTATTTCGTAACTTATCGCATTTTACTTATTCTCTTCCCGTACATTTATTCTTCTACACAGATTCTTTAATTTTTGTGAGCATAACCCTATTGACGTATACGACATTTGCAACACTTCCGGACCAGATGCTATCTGCAAAAATCGACGATCTCAATTCCTTACATCTGGTGTAAATCTCAACATTGGTTACCTACAATTTAGAGCCGTATGGATAGACAATTAATATTGAACAATTTTTTGCTTGATTAATATGATTAGGAATCTAAACTAGAAACTGGATTACATGCATGCAAAGTGAAGCGGGAAAAAGGCGCTCCCAATCTTAGACTATAAGAGCGATTGGTGTTTGAGAAACAAAACAAAAAGCTTATTGCTGATAGCTGTTGTAATCCAAATAGCACACTCATAGTCAAAAAGTAACGAATTAACTATTCAATGCGCAAAATGGGAAGCTGTTCCGTTTTTCCGCTCATTTCCATCACTGTATATATTTTAAGGTGAAGTTTATTATGCAATAGTAATAGTGAGTTCAGAATTTATTTAGTGTAACCTCGATTAATAAATGAACAATTGCAATATGTCAATCATCTGGTTGTTTCATAATTTTTAATTAATTTTGCACATGCTTGCTGATTACGATTTTTGATGCGGCACATCGGGATCGGGAAACAACACAACGTTGAAACTATTTATAGATTACACTTTTTCTAAATAATATAGGATAGTCAAATCGTTTTGATCTACCATTCATTAACCGCACTGCGTAAGGGTATTATTAGTATGGTAACAGTTGAACAATGTCAATAACAAACATGTTTGTCTTACCAAGACGCAAGGAGAAAGGAAATCAGAAAAAACTGCCGATAAATGCCGATAAGTTTTCTTCTCTTACATACACATGCATATGTATAGAATATAAGGTTGCACACTGTCTCCTTATGCAGTAGGGAGGGAGATAATATGAGCTGGGATAATGGTTTGATGTCAAATCTTTTTTTTTCTTTGTTACAAGGTGCATGACAACGATATGAGTACAGAGGTACAAACGGTCGGCAAGACGTTCAGACGCACAAACATTTCGAGTTGCCGTACATTATTATATTATTGATCAAGTCTCGGGCTAACGGATATCCGATTCCGCAAACATCGAGGTTGTGGAACAATGTAAATGTGTACGGATATGTCTACGGATATGTCTACAGATGAATTCTTGTAATTATACATAAAGATATTCGGAACCCTTATCTTAACATCAGAGACTTGTAAGATTTTTAATGTCATTAAGGGCTATAATAACAAATATCCGTCGGACGTTATTGGATCGAATGTAACATTTCGTTTCTTGATTGCTTATCATGATTCCTATATCAGACTGCTCGATTACACAACCTATGTATGTGGTGTACTTCTTTTACGCAGACATTCTCGAATTCCATAGTAATATTATCGCCGCATTAGTGAGCTTAATATTAATAGCGCAACTCTAATAATAATATAGCCGCAGCGCATCATTTCAACAAAGACGTATTATTTTTCTAGCCCTCTTATCAGAACTCATCGTGTGACATATCAAACCTTGTTTGTATTTTGGTTATATTCCCAGACTAAAACTGTGCTACTGTTGCTATCAAAAATTATTATAGTTTCAAGTACCAGTTATCACTGTTATCGTCTTTGCCTCAATCAGTAAACTTGTCAAACTTTATTTTTATAAAACACAAGGAGTTGACACACTATGATTTGATTATGGTATAAAAGTGCATGTGACTAAATGTCATGTGTCTGATCTTTATCAAGTCGAGCTGCTGGTCGCACTTCACTTGTGGTTATTTCTGCCAAATAAACTAGACGTTGAGATATTCGATCCCTTGAAATGCTTTGACGTCAAATTATCGATGTCTAACTGAGTGCTGCAGATAAATCAAACCGGTTTTCAATAAAATAATAACTTCCTGAAAGCGCGTACTCAACAAAAACATTATAGGTGTATGAGATAGGAATCAGCTTCACCATTGCGAATGACAGCTTATAGACACGTTCTTGCTTGCTTAGCGTTCTGTATTCTTCTTATCTTGTTTGAGTTCTTATGTAAAAAGACATTCCGTTTTGTATGACATATCTTACCTGAGAGAAAGTACGTGTATAGCTTGCAACAACTATGGATCCATTAATCAAGTCTTGCTCAACAGATTTATTATTTGTAACTTTTTCATAGAATCCGCAATCCTGTAAAAGCATATCAAAACTCAGACAACGCTTGGCCATGTACAAGTGATTACAACGGATGCGACATCCGATTGAAAATAACATTTATAGTTAGAGCATACCACGTATTGTTATTAAGTTTTTCCAGTTTGCAAACTAGCATTAACGGTTGCTAATAATGGACATTTTTTGCCGCTTTTGTCTATTCGATGAGCCAGTTGTTTTACAAATTTTCGCACAATCAAGAATGATTTCTGACTCCATATCACCTTGCACGCACGATTACTCAACGATTACGGAAGTACTACTGTCGGTTACAGAATACAGTATAGGATATTTAATCTTTATTTCAATAGTTTATCTCGTAGACAGATTTATATGTCAGCCAAACCACCATATTCAAATGTTGGCAAATGTCGAAATTATTTGGAGAAAATAAAGAATTCTCAATTGTAACAACATTGAGAACAAATCCAAGGTCATTTGTATTTACAGTCACCATACAAACTCGCGGCAACCCTAATTAAAGTCATTACTCGAAAAACGATGTAAACAATTCTCACTGAACATATTTACCTCCCCTGCCATATTTAGTAGGTAGTTTGCTAAATCTGGGGGAGGTAGAGGAGGTAGAGGAGGTAGAGGAGGTAGAGGAGGTAGAGGAGGTAGAGGGAGGTAATTTACCTCCCCGAGTGCTAAGCTAATCTCCCCTACCAAATTTAGTAACGAAATGTTATCAAATCTGGTACTGATTAGAGCACCCTATATCATAATAGGCTTGCGTCTTATGCCTGGCCCATTTGAGCTAGTCAATAATGATACTTCCCAAATGTAGTAGGGGAAGTGGCATCTCCCCTACCAAATTTAGTAACTCGAAGCGTTACCATATCTGGGAGGTACTGATGAGAATGCCCCTAATACTAATTGTTTATCACTAATTGATGCTCTTATTTAGTATAGCGTTGTTTCTGAAATATACTAAATTCGGTGCTCGTATTTTTTTAACGTAATAAACACCATGTTTACTAACCCTGATGCTGCGCCATATTGAGAGAATAGTTTGTCCAATAAAAATAGTCTTTGATTGCGTCATGTATATAGTGCTTACCAAGATAGGCAGTGGCGCCCCACTGATATTACAATTTGTACTACATTATTTTGACATCAAACACGCAACACAGCCGAATTACCGAGGCTGAATAAGAGTGGCTATGACATCCTAAATGCAGGCTCTAATTATTGGTGTTAATTTACCGAGGTTTGATTTCCGCGGCCATTACGGGCATTACGGGCATTGGTTAGTTAGAACCAACAAGTGGCGGCGTATTGTGTATAGGTCTATACAAACAAGAATTGCTTTGATGATATATTCTCCTCGATAGAATGGCTGAGGCAGACCTGTGATGATATAAAGGATGGGGAGGGGAGGGGGAGATGAGTACTAATATCTATGAATAGTACAGAAATTGTTGTATAGTACCCATTATCTTTATCCGCCCTGCACGCTAACCTTGTATAAATGCATTCATCAAAACACTTTGTTATTATTACTTTGCTAATTCTGCTTTCTCTGGCAACGGCAATTGCCCGAACAGCTTCGGAATGGAGATCGCGCACAATATATCAGTTACTTACTGATCGGTTTGCACAATCGCCTGGACAGAAGAATCCACAGCTATGTGCTAATAATGGCAATGAATATGAAATTAGACGTTACTGTGGGGGGACATTTACTGGTGTCATTGACAAGCTAGATTATATTAAAGACATGGTAAGTGGATAATATTAGCCGATAAGATAAGATACATGACAGAATATACAAAGCTGGGAAATGCCACTAGTGGAAAAGGGAAATAAAAATATATCATCTATTTCTTTTCTAAAGGGATTCGATGCAATCTGGATCAGTCCCGTTGTTAAGCAATTCGAGAAAGAAACAAAATACGGTCCGGGATGGCATGGATGTAAGAAAAGATATCATGCGGTTTCTATCTTTAACCGCTAACCCTGAAGTCTCATTTTGTCAATTTAATAGATTGGGCACAGGACATTTATGAAATAAATTCACACTTTGGTACGGCAAACGAATTGAAACAACTCGTACAAGAAGCACATGCACGTAACATTTGGGTGATGGTCGATGTTGTCGCGTACGTAATCAAACTGTTTATGGGGGGTTCGTTATTACAAGTATTATTCAAACCCGCCAAATCTGCTTTACAGTAATCACATGGGTCCACAAGAAGGAACAACGCCGTATACGGCAGAGTATTTGAAAGCGTACACGCCATTCAATAAGACCGAGCACTTTCATGATTTCTGCGTCATCGAACATTGGGGTGTACGTGACTTTTGAGTTTATACGTATAATTGTTCGGCTATATACGACAGATTTTTAATTCAAGTTTTTGATGCGTAATTTAGAACGATTATGAAGTTGAGCATTGCAGTCTTGGAGGCTATGATCTTCCATTGCCAGGTAAAAGGAAAAAGTTACGTAATTCTATCTATGCATATCCGTATATGTGCTAACTGTGCGCATTCTATAATAGATCTCAACACTGAAAATCCTCAAGTGGTGGACATCTTCAGCAACTGGATCAGCGATCTAGTCCGTGAATATAATTTTGATGGCATCCGTATAGATACTGTTAAACATGTTCGCAGAGAATTCTGGAGTGAGTTCACTGCTGCAGCCGGGGTATTTTCCATAGGCGAAATGTTTCACGATGACCCTTACACAGTAGGCAATTATCAAAATTATATGGATTCCGTACTTGGATACCCGTTGTTTGAGAAGATCATACCAGTCTTTACAAACCCGTTTTCCGATATGGGTTCTGTTAGTAGAGCAGTTCAGAGCATGAGAGGTGCATTCAAGGACGTGACTGTATTGGGAAATTTCATTGATAATCATGACCAACCTGTGAGTGGACTTGTACAATCATTGCTTGCAATTAATACAGTTAATCATAACTATTTGATTTATTACCCATTAGAGATTCTTGTCAAGAACGCAAGACAGAAATTTGTTGAAAAACGCACTGACGTTCGTGCTGCTAACAGACGGTAACTAAATTTGCCAACGCAAACGTCGATAACATGTAAATCACTCTTTTATTTACTAATCAACCTCTTCACATAGGAATACCAATTATATATCAAGGCACCGAGCAAGGATTCAACGGAGGTAAATTATCCCGATATTATAATTCACTTTACATATCATCATGATGCTCATGGCGTTATTTTCAGGAAACGATCCATGGAACCGAGAAGCCTTATGGCCATCAAACTATTCGCAATCGAGTGACTTGTATCAATTCATTGCAACGATAAACAAATTCCGACAAACACTCCCATCCTCATATTTTACATCGCTTTCGATTGAAGCATGGGCGAATGATCGTATTTATGCCTTTTTCAAAGACAGAGCGTTGGTGGTCATGACAATATACGGAACATATGATCCCATGTTTAGTATAAAAGTCAAAACCAATGGATTATACAGCGTTGGCACAACTCTAGTGAATATATTAAACTGTACAGAGAAAGTAACCGTAGATAGTTACGGCGAAGTGGGGGTAAGAATAACTGGCGATCCGCGAATATTCTATCCTAGTCAAGAAGTAAAAGGGTTATGTCAAATAGATAAACGACGGATGAATCGCAAAGTAGATAGACAGATAAATATATTTAAATTCGCATGACAATTTACAAAATAAAATGATTTTGTCGTTAGTCTGATGAGCAGACGATATTGTAAGCGGCGACTCAGAATGCAATAAAATAACCTCGCATACATAAACATACTGTAGGTAAATTCTTGTTTTTCCATGCAGATGTTCGAATGGTTGCCTGCCGACGTGCGGACTAATACGATACAGCATGAGAATTCCATCATCCTTTGTTGACTACTCGGCAAGTAGTGCTCGTAATCTCTCATATACTTGCAGAGAAGGTCAATGATTCGGGTTGCCAGATTTTTGCATAATACCAGGCTAATATGATTCGTTGCATCGGTGGAGACGATTGAGATGTATGCGCGCTATGTGGAATGGACGCGTAATGACTTGATGTAATGTACGTCTATGAAATTGGAACTTGTTAGTCGAGAATTAACTTTGTATTATTTTGTTTTATCTAGGCGTTTGACCATCGAATAATACTGCTTTCTTTCCTGACTCATACTGACCATACGCACCTTTTATTATTAAGATGTTAAGTAACTTAGCCTAATTTCTACAAATATTAGCCTTGCTCCCAGTACAATGTTATCCACATATTCAGTACAATCATACCTCTACAATCCGATGACTGTAAAAGGTGTGACTGTAGAAAGTGCGTAGGTGTTCATTGCAAATGCGTCTATCATCTGCATTTGACAAACTTCATTTACGAACTGTAACTCTCATCGATCATTATAAGTCAATCGCATAGTCGAATTGAATATGATTGGACAAAGTCGATTTTTCTAATTACGCGTTTTGAATTTGAACAAGTTTCTATGTTGTTATGCTATTGATACTAAGTTGGTATCAAGTTATACTTTTTATTAGTAAGGTATGTAAAACAAAGCTTGCAGAATTTGTAATTTTGCCAAGTCTGACGCAAACATTTTAAAGCCAGTGAGTCGGAATCGTTGCCTCAATTCTTACTTTCATCCTCTTTCACCTTTTCCCTCATGTTAATCTTCTCCCTCCACTCTCTGCCCTTAAAATATGTAACTGTCAGCAGACAAGCTCCCAAGATCTCAAGACAACCTAGTATCGTAAATAGCCACCCATTACCAATTGCATCTTTTATTGGAGTAGCAAGGATAGACATTACAGAAGCGGAGATGTACCGCAGACAAATGTTGACCGACATGACTGATGCTGACAGTCCAGGAAATGCATCAATCAGGTAAGATACCATACTTGAAGTTATTAGAAATATGCTTATGCCATCTATTCGGATGTAATGCAAATGCGTGTAATTTAGTAATTCAGTTTCCAAGTCAATCTATTAATTGCATTTGCTGTAACAACTGCAGGCATTCTCTCAATGTGCAATTCTTGCTATTTAATATGTACATACCAAAAAACATAGCAAGCAGAGGCCATGCAATGAACACACTTTTCTCTACACACCAGCCATAAGCACTAATAGCTACCGGAAAGAAGATGGCTCCCAACCATGCGCTTTTCAATCTCATTTCTGCGTATTGCACTCCGTTGTTCTTCCTTGTCTGCCTTGCAAGCATCATATCCGTATACTTTCCGCCCAACACGCTTCCTATCAGGTATCCTAACCCGCTGGATAAAAATACAAACCCTGATGTGGCAGGTGATAATGAATAATGGTCAACTTGAAACGTAGCCGACACGAGTGTGTCTTGCGTGTATCCCGTGGAAAATAATACGGAGGTGCATGCGACCACCAATGCGACATTCGGATAACGTAGTAGGCGGAGAGGTGATAGGAAGAGAAATATGGAAGATAAGCGATTATGCTTTTTTTTAGGCTGGCGCGGGAGTGTTGGAGATGAGCAAGTCGGAAGAGTTTTAGGAAATGTAAGAGCCGAGGGTGAAAGGTTAGTGGTAGGAGATGTTGGAGCAATGGTAGGAGATGTTGGAGCAATGGTAGGAGATGTTGGAGCAATGGTAGGAGATGTTGGGGATGAAGAGAAAAGAGTCGTAGTAGGAGAGGTTGGAGATGACGGATTCATGGATGCTTTAGATATATCTAGAGGGATGTCAATACGAATTTGACTATCGTTTTTTCTTGTCTCATTCAGGTCCTCTTGTTTTTCTAGTTCATAGTTGATCACATCGTTACATGTCACCGGTAGTCTCTCGTCCTCTCTTTCTCCGCTACCCTCTATACACTTTTCTGATTCATTTGGTATTCTATATGTTTCTGGTAGGCAAAACATTACTCCGAACAAGAGCGTTCCGATAATGACGATCAACCAGAAAATCCACCTGCATGATTAAAAATGTATGTGTATGTTGTATAACGCCTATTAGGATATTTTATATTACAACATCCATTTACGTGTTTACCTCCATCCCAAGTATTCGCCAACATAACCGCTTAATTGAGATTTAAAACAAAACCAGTGAGCACACAGATTTAACGCGTCTTTCATATTACTGTTAACAATATTTACCCAATGACTGGTCCCGCTAGTGGAGCTGCGAAAAGCAAAAGAAGATTAAGTATTCAATGGACAATGAGTAGCCAAAAAACTACGATGCATCAAACGATTCAAAGCTGCCTACTGAGATAAGACTGCTGTTGCATTATAATTTGCATCGTCTGACGTGCTTATGGCTTACCAAGTAATACTCCTCCGAATTGAATTCCATATGCGGTTCCACGATCTACCCGTAGGTTTATATCAGTAGGATAACAGTTTGGAGAGAGAGCTATGATTACATTCTAAAACTTTATACCTTCAACTCTGTATATGTCACTTAGCGTTCCGGCTCCAACGCTCTGCACTGCCGATGCCC